CCTGAATAATGAGAAGATATTGAATATACTAAAGGAAAACAAGTTTAACTCATTGCTTACAAGGACACCCGCAATATTCACCCCTTCTTTCTTTATAAGGATGGGTGATCTTTTTGGAAGGGAAAAAAATGTCACTTTAATTTTCCAATAATACCAAAAGCAATTTGCTTTCCCCACAGCAGTCATGTGGCTCATCAAAAGTACACCTATTTTTCTCTTTCACAAGCAGGACAAACTAGGTCTTTCCTCAAATACTATTAAGTACTTGATGAAAAAGTAGATAGTTTCAATATTTTGAGGATATGTGTTGCCATATTCTAGTTTCAGAACTAAAATTGTATGCCCACACTACTGGGTGTATTTAATCTAAATTAGAGATGAGACAAAGCACTGTTGCCGTTTATGATGAAGCAGAAGAGGAGAGAAACTTCTGCTATATTTGCACACAAGTCTCTACATGCAAACTGCAACCCTGTCTCATGAAAATTATTCCTGTCATTGTTCCTTGTGGTCCCTGTTCTCCTCACAAGTAATTTCTGTTCAAATGTAGCTCTTCCTATAAAAAGTTCAAGAAATATCATATGACATTAATGTACACAAAATGCAGCTAAGCAATGACAAAACAGCCAGAGGTAAAGCTCTGTCAGTTAATTTTCTGTTTTTACTAAGAAATCTATGATATCTTTACTGCTGGTAAATTTGTAATGTCTTCCTCCAGAGGCCTGGACTAGTAAACTTTCTGGAATACAAAGAGTTTCAGATTGACATAAGGCAGATACACACTATGCTGTGCTTGAAGCTGTGGCCAATTAATCTACATCTTCTACACCACTGCCATCCAACTACTTCACTATCCCACAGCAAGACTGTGCAATAGTCAGTTTATCCAGAGGAAGAATCACATTCATTGCTAGTTAATAAGGTGGCTTTCTCCTGGAATAACATTGTTCACTATGCTACCTTGTCTGCTCCACATTCTTCATCCCCCTTAAAAAGCCTTCCCCTGCAAGGGCTCTGGCTACCTTCCCTGTGTGTGAAGTGTTTAGCACATCAACTTTTTAATTAGCTTGCTGTTTGGTACACAGGAAGTTTGCTCAAGTTTGTTCAAGGACACTTTAATCCTCTGCCAAAAAACTCTAAAAAGCTTCTAATTTTCAGCATGGCTATCCTAGTTTCTTTTAGCCACAAGTAAAGATGCATTTACAGAGGGAAGAAAGAGGTTCTACATAGGATAACCTTAGTTTCCCAGTCATTACAGAAAACTATATTCATATTAGTTTTTACAGGATAACAAAGGCAGGCTAAAAGGGGCCAAGGTAATTCTGATCGGACTGTCACAGTGCAGGAGATGGAAACAGCACTGCAGGATGAAGCAGATGTCCCATTAGAGTATATAAGGACTTACTGCTACCATCCTAGCTCTAAGGCTTACCGATAGCTCCTTTAAGAAAGTTTTAAAAAATTAAGCAATTTAAAAGTTATTTTATTAAAGTAATTTCATTTTTTACTGCCAAAAAAAGATGTTACTGTTGCACAGAAAATATTTTGCTTTAAGAACATGCCAAATAGGGTAATTCAGCATGGTAACCTAGAACTTATTTTCCTGCACTAAGATCAAGACACTAAGTTATCCTTATTTATCTGATTCCATTAAATTTATTCAGTACATATCAGAATTGCCTTTTCTGGTATTCATGTACATATTCTGAAGATTTAATTTCTAAAGAGGTTTTTAACCACTACTAAAAGAAGTCTTTAGTAAAGATTTCTTTTGGTAATGGTTAATTAATAATCTTTACTAAAGAGCTGCCTCAAAAACTAAAAGGTTAAGAAGAGAATCACACTGCAGTCTTAGACCAGATGCAGTTTTCAAATAATTAATCCTGCATACCACGTGAAGAATTCTGAAGAACTGTTTTTCAAGAAGAATCAGTATCTTAAACTCCCCTCTTCAGGATACATATGCTTCCTATACCTCAAGACTTCATAGGAAAATAATAGCAACTTTAAAAAGAATGCCACTGTTTCATAATCAAGAGACTTACCAATGAAGGATCAAGGTAGCTGTGTGTGGCTGACCAGGTCTGTGGGCCAATTAAGCTGTACAATGGAAACTGCTGATGAGGACTGTATACTGGAGGTAAGTAGAAGGATGTCGTGTAACGCTGCTGCGTGTAGAGGTTCATATCCAGAGGTCTATATCCATTCTTTGGCAAAAATGTGTTTATAGCTATTGCCTTTGCTTTTATCCTTGCCTGCAAAGGAGATTAGATTATTTATTACAGCAGCCTTTCAAACTAAATCAGGATTGTTCAAACCAGCAGCTCTCAAACTTTTCCTGGACACTTGTCAGTCACCGTTTTCTCCTTCAAAGAAGGCAGGAACAGCTGAATGCTTCCCTGCTGGGCTGATGCTGGGATGGATATACCGCTGCCAGAAAGGAGGAAAAGGAGAAGTAAAATGGCATGTGCTACATTTCAAAACCCATCTCCAGGTCAAAGGGCTGCTGAGATTGGACCACTTAAATTTATATTATTAGAAAACACAGTGTGCCCCACAAAAACCAGAACATATACACACATGCCCCCAAAAACCATAAAGCTTGATTTACCTTTATCGGTTTTCCTTGGAAAGTTTTTACTTCTTCTCTAAGGTATCTGTAAGCCTTTAAAAAAGTAATTATAAAATTTGTCAAGTACCATTTAAACAAAGGAAACCTAAGTTTTGACAGGCTAAGCCTAACAATAATTCTTAAAGTGTCTGCTAATGATAGACTATAGAAAACTCTCACATGTAATGTGCATTTGGCAAGATTTAAGTTATTATTGAAGTGCTTCAGCAGCAGTAAAACAAGATTTAAATTCTTACAATTGAAGCATTTCAATGTGTTATCCAAAATATCAGTGTTTTACAAAAAAAATTACAGCTTTGGCCAGGAAGCCAGGATATGTGAACAAGAGAGAACTCTTACAGGGTTACATTTAAAAGTACTGATATTAGCTAAGGGGAAGCATTACTGGTTATAGAGGTTTTGGTATTTTTCTTTTTAAATTGTTGCACATTTGTAATACAGTTTACAACCCGTCAACCCACCCTCATCCCACCCTTGTTTACTGTTATATTCTAAAATGCTTCAAAAAAGATAGTGTTACCTGCTGTGCATCGGCTTCTGATTCAAATGTGATAAACCAATTGTCATTATAGGCAAACTCACAGTTAATAAACTTAGGCAAATTATCTCCTTTGAAAAGTGCTTCAACCTCCTAAGGAAAGTGGTTTTGATAAGAAGAGAGAGAAAAGGGTGGGAGAAAAAAAAAATAAAAATGGATGGACAGAAGGAAATGTCAATTTAAAGTGCAGAACTCTAGAACTCCAGGTAAGGCAGACAAAAAGCACTTCTAGGCTTACAAAACAGAACTGAGAACCTCGAACACCTGCAGTAGCGTTAGCTCTCTCCAATCTCCCTGCTAGCTACAAGGAAATGAAACAAGCATAGTCTAGGGCCGTATTGCAAGTAGAAGTTGCCTGTTCCTTTTAAATCAGGGGAGATAAGCTATTTAAGCCATAGAGACACACTTAAATTTGGCATCAAGTGCAGAAAAAAGTCTTTTTGTCCCCTGTCCCCGAAACCAGAGGCACACAAAAACCTGTGCATACTGCACAGGACAGGAGAACCCCACCCTTTCAGCAGAAACCTGGAGATAAACTTTAACTCAAGTGTCTACAGATCAATGTATTTGAAACAGGGGTTATGTTAGCTGAAAAACAATCAGCTAGCTTCTACAGAAAACACACAGCCTGGACTTTATATTTGTTTTAATCCATTTGCATATTACTTATTTTTGCCAAGCAGTATCAAAAAGCATTGCAACTTGGGAGGCCTTACAGTATTTTGGAACCTTGCTGCTTAAATAAAGCCTGATCATGCTATGCCAGAAAACACATCCTATTAAATCCAGCTGATTAAGTCTAGATTTTCCAGTCTGGCAAATTTAAACACATAACATATAAAACACTTCACTTCAGACCATCTCTTTTGAAAATAAAGACTCCTCAGAACTTTGTTGTTGCTAGGCAGTCTTTGAAAGATTATCTTTCATTTAGAAAGCTAAAAGCAGCGGATATTTTTAAGCTATGTATATAGCGTATCTAACTTCTTCCCTCCAATTCCTTTCAGTATTTTGTTTCATGCTCCTGTTTATTAAAGCCAATTCTTTATTATAAGTTTTCAAACTGCAGTACTTTTTATTTTTGTATGAAGACTAATCAAGAAGAGTAACTCTTTCAGAATCTTTATTCTTCCTTATAAAATTAAATAAAGGGGAAAATCAAATATCCATCCATCATCAAGAATCTGCGCTGCCTTTTCCTTTCTGAAAATTCAAGATGGTTTAATCTATGGCCTAATCATTTTTTCTAGTCTTTCCATTAGTCATAGTCCCAGTTACATCAGAGTTCTATCGAATATCTTTCAAAGAATCAAGTTCTCCACTCTCGCACTCATTCCACAAGCCAGCAGAGACCCTTAGTGACTTTTTGACATCTCTGCCCTCAGCATTATGGAAACATTTGCAAAGCTTTAAGTACTTTATCCTAACAAGCTTCAAGGTACAGCAGTGGCACTTTCCATTATAAGACTTATCCTCCGTCATCTTCATTTGCTATTTATCCAAGGAGCTGAGTGCTAAGTGCATATGGATAAGCCACAGTCCAAGAAAATTATGGGATCTCTACCAAACACAGCACTGTCAGTTTTCAGCCCTCTCCAGAGCTACAGGTTTTATTGCAGTCCTCCTACGAGCAACATGCTTCTATCAAATCTATTTATTATCCAAACACACACAATAAACTAAGGTTTAGAAATACTGTTAGAAACCAGCTAACAATGTAGTAAGAAATGTGATATGTTTATTGAAGTCTGGAAGAAAGTTAACTTTCAAATCCTAAGGGAAAAGCATTCTTTACTAAACAATTAAACACTTACTTCAATGGGGGTAGATTCAGGTACTTCACGTAAAATCACAATACAGCGATTCTGATTTGGCCTAACTTTTTCTCCCTTCTCATCCACTTGGACTAAAGGCAACGCTAAAAGAGAAAAGACAAAAATGTATTTTAGCTGCCAGCAATAAGTTTTGCATACTGAAAGATGCCGTGGACACAGTTTTACAATGCAAAGCTTTTTGTGCTAAACTTCAAATATTTTTGAACATCAACAAACAAGCAGAAGATGACTGAGGATACTTTCAGACATATGAAACTGAGTAGACGCGTTCCTTAAAGTCTCCACACTCTTCCTCCTCTTCCAGCCTAGAAAATCCCAATTAATTAGCTTTTCCTTCTAAGGCACACATTGAATCACGTTCTTTTTTGATTCTTACCTTAGTGGTAACATCCAGCAGCCTTTTCGGAGAATTTAATCATAGAATACCAGGTTGGAAGGGACCTCAAGATCATCTGGCCCAGCTTAATCTTAAAAGTGTCCAATGTTGGGGAATCAATCACTTTCCTAGAGAGTTTATTTCAATGTCGCATTGTGGAATATTTTCCTCTTTTGTCCAATCGGAATCTCCCCAGGAGTAACTTGTACCCGTTACCCCTCATCTTTTCCATATGACTCTCTGTTAAAAGGAAGCCTTCATCTTCTTTGCAGCCACTCTTTAAACTGGAACATGGTGATAAGGTCTCCCCTAAGCCTTATTTTCTCAGGGTTGAACGAACCCAGTTCTCTCACCCTTTCCTCATATGGCAGGCTCCCCAGTCCTTTGATCATCTTTGTGGCCCTGCTGGGGACCCTCTCCAGCCTGTCCACATCTTTTTCATATAGCGAGGACCAAAACTCAAGACAGTATTCCAGGTGTGGCCTGACAAGTGCTGAACAGAGTGGGATAATGACTTCTTTATCTCTGCTGGTGATGCCCTTGCTGATGTAACCCAGCATCCTGTTGGTTTTCGTTCCCACAGCAGCACACTGTTTGCTGAGTTTGTTGCCACCAGGACCCTCAGGTCCCTTTCCATAGAGCTGCTCCCCAACTGCCTAGTTCCCAGCCTGTGCTGCACTTCTGGATTATGTTTTCCCACATGCAAGACCTTATGCTTGTCCTTGTTGAACTTCATAAGGTTCTTGTTAGCCCACTCTTCCAGCCTATCCAGGTCTTGCTGCAGGGTGGTCATCCCTTCCGAAGTATCCACTTCCTCACTCAGTTTGGTATCAGCAAACTTCATCAGGGTACGCTTGATCACATCATCCAGATCACTTATGAAGATAGTAAACAGCATTGGGCTCAATATCTGTTCTTGGAGAACCCCACTTGTGACAAGTTGCCAGTTGAAAAAGGAGCCATTTCCTACCACCCTCTGGGTGTGGCCCCTCAGCCAGTTCTCCACCCCCTGCACAGGTCACTCATCCAGACGGTAACACATGTGTTTCTCTAGGAGGAGGCTGTGGGAAACCATATCAAAAGCCTTGGAGAAATCCAGGTACACAACATCCACTGCTCGCCTCACATCGACTGAACAGGTTACTGTGTCGTAGAAGGCAATTAGGTTTGTCAAGCACAATTTCCCCTTGGTGAATCCGTGCTTGCTTTTCCCAGTCACGTTCTTCATTTGACTTGTGATAGCCCCCAGGAAGATTCATTCCAGAACTCTGCAAGAGACTACAGCAAGGCTGATATGCCCATGATTTCCTGGATCCTCCTTCAAGCCCTTCTTGTAGATGGGAGTAACATTAGTCTTCTTCCAGTCTTCTGGGACACCCCATGATTTCCATGACCTCTCAAAGATTACAGAGTGACCTCGCAATGACATCAGCCAGCTCTCTTAACTCCCTCGGCTGGATATTGTCAGGGCCCATCGATTTGTAGCGGTCAACTCCTGTTAACAGTTCACATAACAACTCTTCCTTCACTGACAGTGGGTCTGCATTTGCATCAATCTGGATTTTTGTTCCCACTGCCTGGGGCCCAACAGTGCTGGTAGAGACAGAGGTGAAGAAAGTGTCAAGAACCTCTGCCTTTTCAGCGTTGTTGGTGACTAATTCACATCTCCCATTGAACAGCAGGCCAATATTTTCCTTCTGTTTCTGTTTGTCATTTAACATACCTGAAGAACCCTTTCTTGTAGTTTTTGACATCTTTGGTAAATTTCAATTCGAGCTGAGCTTTTGCTTTTTCTGACTGCATCTCTGCATGCCCTGGCAATGCCCTTGTAGCTCTCAACAGGTATTTGTCTGCTTTTCCATCTCTGGTACACTTCTCTTTTGGTTTTGAGCAGACTCAGAAGCTCACAGTTAAGCCAAGGTGGTCTCTTGCTCCACCTACTTCCCTTACCTTTAAAGGCGATGAACTGTTCTGTGCTTCCAGGAGAGTGTTCTTGAAAAACTCCCAGCACTAGCTAGCTCCTTGATCCTCCATGGATACTTCCCACAAAATCCCTCCCAACTGAGCTCTGAGCGTGCTGAAGTTTGGTCTTCTAAAATCTAGAACTAATCTTCAGCATGCTCAGCAGGATCCCAAACTCCACAATGTAGTGATCAGCTAAGGCTACCACCAACTGAGATATTACAAAGCAAGTTTTTTGGTTTGTGAGTGGCAAGTCCAACGGTGCCTCATTCGTGGTTGGCACATCTAACACTTGCATGAGGAAGCAGTCCTCCACGCATTCTAGGAACTTGATGGATGACATGTAAGCTGCTGTATTTTCTTCCAACAAATGTCTGGGTAGTTGAAGTCACCTGTAAGAACCAGGTTCTTTTCGTTCGAAGCTTGCTTAAGTGACCCAAACATTGCTTCAACAGCCTTACTGTCTTGGTTTGGAGGTCAGTAGCAGATGCCTACTGTAAGATCCCCATTGGAGACGACCCCTCTGATCTTGACCCAGAGGCATTCAATAGAGTTTCTGCAACTGCCATAGCTGACTTTTATACATTCAAGGTTCTCCGTGACAGACTGCAACTCCTTCTCCTCTTCCTCCCTGTCTGTCTTTACAAAACAGCCTATACCCATCCATCGTGATCCTCCAGTCATGTGAGTTGTCCCACCATGTTCCACAATTTAAACTCATTCTCATGGATACAGATCATTACTCAATACCTCAAAATGTGAAGCAGCTTTGCTAAAATTTCAGTCCTATAATTGTGATGGTCTAACTGGAAGCTGTTTGCTCTATTTAATGCTTTATAGAAAAATGATGGTGTTTTATTGCGATACACAACAAAAAAAGGAATGAAAATCCGGATTAATAGTCCTACAGTAATAACCAAAACTCTTCCCAGCATTCAGGGATTTTTACTTACATCTCAGCACTTCAACAATCAAATCCATATCAGTACTGAGTTTCTTGACATGATCAAGATTTGCTACTGTCATTATTGGCACATACTGATCACTGTCCATCTGTGATATAAGGTACATGTCACTGGCAAGATTTTCTCTGTTGGCACAAGAAAAAAAAACAATGGGGAAATGTCACAGATGTAACTTTTGCCAATAAACTTAGAGAAAAAACTCATCACATAGTAGAAGGCAGATTCCTACACTAAATTTTGTATTCAGCATTTTCACCAACTCCCCAGTCCATTCACCTACTATATTTCACTTCCTAGAAAACATGAAAATGTCTTTTTTTGCTTCATGCAACAGTACTGGCATCTTCCTGTTCTGGCAGCACATTACCCTCACAAACATGTAATATTGTTAGGAGTTTATTACTTCAAATGACCACTGACTGTAACTGCTTATGCAGGAGTACACAGATTAGAAATTGTTCTAGGATATTAAGACATGTGTCTAGGATGTTTTCATCTAGACACAAGCACTGATAATAATTAAGTACAAGTAAACTGCTTTGATGATCTTCCATCAGTGTATACTGGAATACATATGATTCAGAGCCTTTTATTTTTTTTTCTTTTTTAAATTGAGCCTTAACTTAAAATATAAAGAGATCTACAGATGCGCATACAAAAATCCTACTTTATATCAATGCAAATTTTAAAATTATTAGTTTAAACAAAGCTTACCAAATCACTTAAGTTACTCAGTTTTAATTTGCAAAAAACCAGTAAAAGTCATAAAAATTCACCTGATACCTAATTGCTTGTAACTACTCTCTCTTCAAAACAATATATTTGCCAGTTTATATTTTAGGCCCAGAAGTGTCATGTAAGCTTTAAGAGGTACATCAACACAATACTTTGGAATTTGTGTATTACTTCCCCCAAATTCTTAACCTTTCCTCTCAGCTTTAAGTGACAGCTAAGAAATATATTAACATACATCCCAAGTTAGGTAATGGATCATGTTAGTTTTCCTCCAGTTTGCTACATTTAGGTATATACATACCTAGATAAACAGAATTCCAGTGTTTTTTTCAGTAATTCTCGTAAATCTTCCTGACCTTCTGGCTGCAACTGTTCATTTCCACCTAATAATTAAAATACTTAAGTTTAAAATTTAGTTCTGCTATATTACACAATAGATATTTTAATCAAGCCATCGTGTCTATTACTGGCTGTATAACTAGTAACAAGTTTTCAAATTCAATAAATGTTCATTATTTGTCAGTTCACCACCCACCAAAATTGCACAGGAACACTTTTTATTTAAGACAGAAAAGAAAAACCATGTCTGACTTCACTTGTTAACTTCTGATCTCCAAATATATAAAAATTTGAGGTAGTTTTAGAAGAGCTGCTACAAACACATCCCAAAGTAAATACTGAACTGATTTAGCTCATGTATCTGTCTTCCAGTTTTAGGAAACTAACCAGTTTCTAGCTGACTAAACTCTAATGCAGTTGATTAATACAGCAAGCAAGCAATGTAACAGAGGCACTTCGTACTTCTAACCTCACTCTAAATTCCCAACACGCTAGTTCAGAAAATAGAGTTTCAAAAACGTAGTTATGAAATATCAGCAGATATCAAATCAATTAACAATATCTTAATTAAGAAAGAGAAATAATCTTTTTCCTTACACCTGGAAGTTTCAAAATGATCACATGGAAAACACTAATTTCATGTTCATTTTAGTTTAGACCCAATATACTACAGTCAGTTGAAGGTAAACTAAGTGTGTCAGTGGGAGAACTATTTAAAGATCAGAAGTTTAGTGTGGCTTTTAGAGTTTTATAAAACATTTAGTAACGTGTTACATAAATGTAAATTAGTTTTTTTAAAAAGTATTTCACACCATTACCCTCTATACCCTCCCCTTCTTCAGTAACTTTCATCCTTTTCTTCAGCTCTCCTTAACCTTTCTTCTTCCTAAAGCAACTTCTAATTTCCTCCCACCATTTTGGCCTTCACGTGTTCTATTCTGATGCAGATAATGCCAACACCTGAGAAATACACATATCATGTACTAACCACTATTTCCCCTCCCCATTTCCTCTTTCTTCCTTGCCCAAAACCTAGCAAAGACCAAAATTATATGCATATTTTTAAAATAATAATTGAAAAAATAAAAATTATATTTCAGAGTTGGTACCACCTATATTACTGTTTATCAAGTGGAATAGACCCGATCTGCTGTTCAGCTGTTTTACAACACTATTTGACTCTTGTTAAAAGTTAACTATTTTGGGCACTTGAAGAACACACTGGCAAGTTGTAACACTTAAGTTGAGGAACACTGTTCCCTTCCAGACTGCCAGGCATCATTAATACCATCTTCTGTTTGCCAGTTAGTTATTATTTAATATTCCCCAATAGTGCCCTTAAGCAGAAGGGTGAAAGAGAACTTTCAGTTTTCAGCACAAATAAGGATGATGCCACAACTGTGTCCGATTTCAGTTGTCTTGATTTCTAACTATTATGGATGCTATACTGGTCATTTTAAATACATGTTATAAAATCAGCTAAGCACAACAAACAAGGAGCAGACCTCTCATGAATCCCAAGAAACACCCAGCACATTTTCCTTTTTCCCATCCCTTGTCTAGTTCAAGTACTAATCCTACATGCATCTTGCAGACCTTCTGTCTCTTTCAGTGAAATACAAGTATGGCTGAATCTCTACACTAGTTTCTCAAAGTTTCTTAAAACATGCCATCTGGTAAAGACTACAGTTACTAACAGTTGTACTGAAAAAAAAAAATCATGAAAGTTCATTAAAAAAGAATGCAAAGAAGTTAGACTAAATTCTTGCTTATTTTAGCATTTTAAGTACAAGACTGATCTTTCAACACATTAACATTACTACTTAACACACAAATGGTACATGAATTTCACTTCAGTACCTGACCCAACTAGAAACACGCAGCTTAGGTAGATATCTAAATGTAGATGTCTACAGTAGAGACTTGCATTCAGAATAACATTTCAGAAAACAATACTCAGTTATATCCAGAACCTATGATCAATTCTGTGAGTATCTCGTAAGGCTTTTATTCAAACAGGAGAAGACTGGTTTCCAAGTATGTCTAAGCCTGAGAGCAAAAGAGACAGGATTTTCTGGGGTCTGTTTACAGAACGCACGTATTGAACAACAAAAATGGTGTAGCAGGATTTTTTTTGTTGTTGTTGTTTTGGATTTTTTGATTGTTTGTTTGGTTTTTTTTTTAATGGATGCTCACTGTTCAACTCAAAATATGTTTTTTTAAACCAAGTCCAAGCAAATGTTAGCTTTCTCTCACCTGTCTGGGTGGTTTCATGCATAGACTCATACTCAGAATGATCAAGAGCCAAAGGGTTCATATCTGTCTGGTCTGACACCAAAACAGCTGGTGATGGTTCCTGCAGCTCTGTCAGCACTGCATTTTGATGCTTTTTGTTGCCATCACCATTGGCATCCAGTCCTGCAGCAGAGATGACAAACACACTCAAAAAGTATTCCTTCTAACAGTAACATCATAGTTAAAACTAAATCTGAATTAAAGTTGCTTACACATTTGCATTCATTTTTTTAAACAAGAAATTAAAATTCAGAAAGTTCTGCACTGAATTTTACCTTTTGTTTGAGCAACAGCTAGAAACTCTTATTCATACCTTCTTTACAAGAATCTGGAGGTTGGTCAGGTATTTCTTCCCACGTTTTGCTCACGCTACCATCAGTGGCACCACTTGCTTCCAAGTGTAACATATGATTTCCCCACACCTTTGCATTAGGGTTTAACTCAGAAACCTTGGCTGACTCCTACAAAAAGAAATTTGATTACGCGCTTTGTGGATGCACACCATGCATCTGTGCATATATAAGTATGATTTCAAATAACAATATCAGATGTACAATTCACGATTGTATTGTCAAGTTTTTTTCACATCTGAATACATAACTGAACTGCCATGCCATAATTGTTTCAGGTACAAAATCAACTGAATTGTGCAGCACAGAATTCACTTTCCTGATTAAGAATTACCAAAAAAGGCTAGCCAAGCAGAGCAAACTACAACAAACATTTCATTCTTCACTGTTGACAGACTAACTCAACCTGTACTTGCTCTAGACCTCAGGCAGTTCTCTAATCGAGTTAACTTGATGTTGACTATATTGCTATTGTATCTGTTTCTGTGAAATAACAAAAAAATTACACAAATACCAAAGTGCAGGGTCTTTTTTTTCTGGACCTATATAAATATGTAACATTTTTAAGGAGGCATTATGGAAAATGGAAAGCAATGAGATATGCATGACAACTTCTGTCATTACTTCAAGAAACAAAACAGAACATTAACAAATATTTAGGTTAGTTTTCCCCTAGGCAGGACAAAAAGAATGAATTACCAGATCCAGTTAAATGACCTTAGGCCGATCTCTTTTAACCTGGATTAGAAATGGACACATTAAATGGTCATATATGGTTATACATAACCATTTTATAAATGGTTATATTTGTGCTTCAGAGAGATTGCTCTCTGCAGTGCCAACACCTACAATACTTTTTTTGATAGTAACATGAGACGGTTTTCTCTTGTTTTGCTAATGTTTGAGCAAAACACATTAAGTTATTCCATACCCAGAATATCTTCGGTATGTTTTAATATTGTTATTACACTGGGAAAAAAAAAAAAAGAGTATTGCTCATAACACATACTAAAAAAAGCTTATTAAAATTTGTTTTGTGAATTTAAGGACGTTAGGAGCATTAGAAAATCTAATACGGGCACTTAAAAACTCCATGAAGCTTTATTCTGAAACACTTGCACTCAGATAGTCAGTATCATCGTGCATAGAAAAGATACCCAGAAGATAAAAAGATCTAAAGAATCTCAAACACCTCTACTGAATAGACATAGAAAAGACTTACAAAAAGTGAAATGTTCAGCATAACTACTTGAATAGTAAGGATTCAAAGATGACAGCAAGTTCCAGTAGTTTCCATTTTTAATACAAAAAGTTCCCTCAGGAGATAGTAAACTTAGCCTCTAGTACAATCCACTGCCAGAACTGCAATTGCTGGGCAAGGTCAGAGCAGCTGCTGTAACGCAGTCAGTGTGGAGAACAATACGAAGTGCTGGCTCTGCTCAGCGGGGAAGGAAGAGGAGAGGCAGCTGCTGCAGGTCGGCTTTGTTTCTTTCTTAACCCCAGCTAGCCAAGATCCAGTCTAGCTCATTCCCCACGCCTCTCCTGCAGCCACTCCTTTCTACAGCACTTCAGAAGATCATCTCCGGAAGTGAGAAAAAGGTTTCCTAATTGCTACCAAGCAAGAACTTTCAGATTTCAGGAAATCCACAAACATTTCATTCTATATGAAGGTAAAGAGCACTATTAACAGTCTGTAGAAAGTTTCCCTTCCACACGCTGAAGTGTTCATCTCAAGTTCATCTAGAATTGAGAATCTGCAATCAAGATACTTTGCCCAACGTTTAAACTTTCACACAAGGTAAACAGAACAAAAAAAACCCCAAACCAATATTCAGCAACATTGAATACTACATTCTGTATTGCATTTGGTTTTGCAAAGGAAATAGTGGTCAGCTTCAGGACAAAATAACATGATATATTTAACTACCTACTGATACCACAGTTTGACTTGGCTTGTTTCAATTCCTAGCTTCAGCTTTAACATCAAATCACTTCTGCAGAATACTTACACATTCATCTTTATCTTGCCATCCCCAGGTACCAACATTTCCTGCTGCCAGCAGCTGATATGGGTGTCTTCCCACTGGATATGAAGCACCTGTTAAATCTTCAGGTCTGTTCTGGAAGTTTTCACTAACTATACATAGTCTGTCATTCTTCACGATATTGTTAGAAATTGTATTATTCCATAAAAAGCCCATCAGATATTCACCATTACCAGCAGAAACAGTGTCAGAAAATAACTGACTTGTCCAATCAGCATTGCCAGTCTGAAGACTGATGAAATGTGACCATATTTCAACTTCGGGGTTTTGTCTATCCAGTTCATAGGAGTGCTCTTGGTCATTTGATACATCTTCCATGAGATCCAACACAGACCGTTCACTGCCTTGCTGAAATCCTGTGGCACCAGGAGAGGTACTGTGTATTTCATAGGAAGGAGTAGCAGCGTATTTGTCTACCTGCTTCGGGTCAACAAAAACTCCAAGCTCTTTGTTTGAGAAAATCTTGTGATCTGACTGCATCTGTTCCCAACTTGTGCTGAAGTCATTCATTTGAGTATTTAATATGTAACTGGTCTTTTTCAGTTCAGCAGTCGTGGCTTCCAACTGCTTTAAATTCCCCATGGTAAAACTTTCTAGATTCCCAGTTGACGTACTAAAATCAATGAGGTTTTTCTCCTTTGAGTGGATGCTGACACACTGTTTTACTTCACCATCCTGAAGATTACATTCATTTACACTACACACACTTTTTTCACGAGTTTCTGACCCTACTTCAGTAAAAAGCCCAACAGAAACTTGGGTGTTCCCGAACTCCGGCTCTGGACTGGGACAGGGATGTAACTCGGGCTCTTCAACTGGTTTATCACACACAAGAGAATATGGATTTTGACACAATGAAGGTAAACAGTTATGGGCTTCATGTAAGAGATTACTGGTATCTTCCAGATTTTTAGTGTCCTCTATCAATTTTACACTCTTGTACACACAATTGTCCAAAGCTACAGCTACAGAGGAGTTCTGATCATGATTCAAGCCTTTATTGCAGTTTAACATGTTTTTATCATGATCAACAATGTTAGCATCCAAATTCTGGTTCACATTTTTTGCCTTATTAATTGTCTCATTTAGGTGAACTTCAAATTTTGTCTGTTTTACAGATTCTACTCTATCTCTGGTTATTTTGGCTGAGTCATTCTCTGCATTCCATTGATTTTCCACTGAGTTGAAGGAACATACACCCTGTTGCTCATCTTGTCTACAGTTCATGTCCATTTTATTCATATCCTCATGTTCCACAGACACAGAAGAGACACCGGTTTTGTCATCTGAATTTGAATATTTGCATACTTTACCTTTACCCCCTGGTGACTCTTGTGAAATCTGATACTCTAGGCTGTTCTCCTTTATGAAAATTTCATCTGCACTTGTGTTATGTAGTTCATGAGATGTCAAAGTGTCATCACTTACCCCAGATTGAGTTCTACGCAAGCTATCAGCTTCCTCAAGTATGTTGCCTTTTAGCTCAATAATACTCACACAGACATCTTCCTCCATGCCACTATGGTTTGCAACTTCAGTTGATGTCTTGTTTTCGGGGTAACCCTTAATTTGAGTTTGAAAATCAGAACTTTCCTCCAAGTTTTTGTGCATTTCAGTCACATCCAAAGCTTCATAGCTATGCAAAACTGTACCTGTGCATTTCTCTTTATCTTTCAAGAATACTTCCAAAACACCATGATGTTCACTAGAGTCAGGTGCAAACATTTGGCTAGGACCATACATTCTTTGAAATGTTCTCTTTTCCACATTTGAGTTTAGTTCACTTTCTGGCTTTAGGAAGTAGGCTTCTTCAGCAAGTTTTTCTACATGTTGACTCACCAAAAATGAATCATTGTCCATTTCATATAACTCTAATGATAATTTAAAGTTACCCTTCATGTTCTCTGCCACCTGTTTAGTATTCATCTCTCTTACAACACTTGCAGGGTGCCTACTTAAACCAAATGGTACAACCTCAGAATGATTACTTCCCTCAGTTTTTCCTGAATTACATACTCCAGTGCTTAACAATACACTGGAAATACAATCACTGTGTTTCATGTTTTCTGAATTAGGGCTGTATTGGTCCTCTTCAGCAGCATCCACAAATTTTACAGAATCACAAGCTCTATGGAGCGATTCATTCCAACTGACAACGTTACCTACAGTATATACTTCCTCTCTTTGATTCTCAGGGAGAACTTCATCATATACTTTAGCTCTTAAGCCATCTGTTACTGTACTGTCACTATTTAACCTATGGACCTGACACCTGTTAGCCAGTAAGTTATCACAAGAAGATTGGATGTCTATGCTACAATAGTCCTTTGTTTCTTTTTTCTGCATGTTTGTCCTATCCTCTTTTTCATACTCAAACAGTTCTTTCTGTGAAATAAACTTAGCTTCCACTTGTGCTGATTGCTGCATTGGAAATTCCTCCCCAGTGTCTAGAGGTCGTGCCATGCTGCACATTCCTTCATCAGTAACAGCTGAGTTATCTATGTCTGCTGCAGTCTTTTCATGCACAGTAGCTGGCACCTCTTCACCCCCTTTCAGATCTTCAGCATCTACAACACAAATACGGTAAAACTCCCTATCTTTTGTATTTTGTCTATTGTCTACATCAAGATAGGAAAATGTTGGAGACACCTCTCTATATGAGCTTGAAACTTTTTGTGGGCTGCCACTCTTGCTGTCTTCAACGTTTATTGTTGTTTCATTCTGCCTTGAATGGTCACATGTAACTACATAATCCTCCAGAAAATTTCTATTTAAGGAAATTTCACCCTGTAAGCCTTTGTCTAGGATATCTGGTACACATGAAGTAGAAATATTACCAAACAAGCAATGCTCTTCCACAGCTAAATTCTCATTATTAATATTACTATTAATATTTTCTATATTGTTTATGTGCTGACCATTACTAATAGATCTTTTAGGTGCTCTTTTTTTAATAACCCTATCTTTCTTTTCTTCACTTTTCTGCAGATTTCCATATGTACCAGACACCTTTAGGAGGTGAGTAAAGGAATTAAAGAAGCTAAAAAGTCTGTCATATGTTCTCCT